GCATATCTCTATATTGTTGTTGATTCGTGCACTTGCAAGTAATTTAATTTGTGATTTTTGAATATATTTTTTAGGTGTTCGAAAATCTACATCATTAAGTGTTATTATCTTTTCATGAGTTCAATTGTATATTTCTCATTACTAATAATTGACTAGCATTCTTTTATTTTTAAAGAACTGATAGTGAGCAATTCATTTTTCTGAACAACCAGTGATAAAAGATAACATTGAAAAATTAAATTTGTTTTAATTTCTTCATCTTCTAGTTAAAGTTTCTATATGAAAATTTTAATTGAGTTATAATTTAAATTAAAGAGCATGAAACATGTTTTGCTTAATGCTTTGGTATTTCCATCATTGATATTTCGATTTCAAAATCATTTTTCTTTTAGTACGTTTAGTTGCTTCTTTGTGTTCAGAACTTTTCATATATGCTTCTTGGGGATACAATACTTGGCTCTCAACCCCCTCCTTGGAGTCTTCTATCAATAGTGAAAGATACTAAGGGACTATTGCGAAGCTTTCAGATTCTTCAAGTGTGACACATCTATCGTGAACCTAATATGGTCGTTGGCGATCTGGCTACAATTAGGTCATGCTAAAGCTTTGAGATTTTACAGGTCATGTGCCAAAAGAATAATATGGTCTCTTAAAATAAAGTCTTCAACGACAAATTATAAAAAATAATCAAACTATATAATCAAAATCTTGTGATCATCAAATTACTAATTATCATTAATCAAGTAAAAAATGTAATATACAAAATAGGAAAACCAACATTAATATTATCCTATTAATTAATATAGGGAAACCTTAATATACAGGAAAGCCAAAGCAATTGGGATATATTATCAATATAATAAACTTACATCAATAAATTATATTTATTATGAGGCCCTCTTAAATGATAGCTTTCCTTATTTTGGAGAAATTATAGAGTGATATGGTATCACCACATCAGCTGGTGATACTCCCACTCAAAATCTGACACGTGTCCTTTTTGAAAAGAAAATTAAAAATAATTTAACTTGGACTTTGTCTTACAAGTTTACCCATTAATACCCTAACCCATCTCCTCCGTCTTCCTTGTGCTATCACGCCACCTAGCCGTCTTTACATCTCCCTCGCCACCCAGTCGTCTTCCCTCCTCCCTCGCCACCCACTTGGGCTTTCCGTGCCTCCCATTCTTAGTAAAAAGTTAAAAGTATATTTAGAAAACCCAGAAATCTTGAAAATCAGTGCAAACCCATTAAACATAAAACAAAAATATTCAAAATCTCCCATGACGACAACCCAGTAATGAAAGAAGGGTATGTTTGATGTTGATATTATTGGAGGGGGATTGCAGCCAAGGGGAGGTAGTGCAAGGTAGGCAGATTGCCGATAGGGGAAACTGCTACAATCTTCTTGTTTTCTTTTTCCTGTTTTTTCAAATTTTATTTTATTTTATTTAGGGTAAAGTTGGAAGACAAAGTCCAACAGTGAAAAAAAATTAATTTTCTTTTTGAAAAAGACATATGGCAGATTTTGAGTAGGAGTATCACCAGCTGACGTGGTGATACCGTATCACTCTATAATTTCTCCATTTTGCACTAAAAGAAAAATGGAAAGTCAATATAAATGTTAGTAAATTAATATACCATTATTAGGCTACAACATTATATTAATGTACGTTGGTGTTTAAAAGGGCTGTAGCTCAATGTGCTCATGCCGAACGGCCGCACTAAGAGCATCTCCAAGAGTAGTAGCAAATTAAATTGTTCAAATTAAAGTTTGTTGACTTATGTGGCGATTTGAAAATGTTTATTTGCTACTTGAATAATTTGAGCTCCAACAAACTCTTCAATTCAATTAATGCAACATCATGAAAAAAAAAATGAAAAAATGTGAAAAATATAATTATTATATGAAAATAAAAAATGTATGGCTTTAACATTTTCAAGGTACGTTTTGTTTTTCTGAAGTAAAATTAAATGTTTTAAGAGTCAAAGTCAACTTACCAGTCATGAAGAAAAAGAAAGATGTTGCAGCTTTGATAACTGAGGTTGAAAAGGCTATTGGAGAGAGTTTTTTTTTTTTTTTATGTGGCTCACCTATTTTAGAATTCCAAAGTTGTTGAAGATGTTGTTGGAGATGCTCTCATACTTGTATTTGGTTTACAAACTTCCTGCATTTAGTTTTCTTGAAACTCGTGTACGATAACCGAAATTTAGGGATCCTTATAGAATCTCATTGTAATTTTATTTCTTTTTTTTCAAAAACAAAAAAAAAAACAAAAGAGCATTCTTTATAGTCATTGATATAAATAAGGATAACATTAAAAAAAATTAAATAAAAAAAAAAGGTTAAATACACTTTAGTACCATGTTGTTACGAGAAATTTTTATATATTCCGAGTACACCACGTGACTGGTGTACCATCCAATAAACATAGGACATGTGGAATTATTGTCTAACTTACTGCATTTCTTTTTATAACATGTGGCGGACTGCATTGCAAATATTTCATATATCTTCTGTCTATTGGATGGTACACCAGCTACGTGGTGTACCCGGAACACCAAAACATTACTCGTGTGGTTACACCCTTAAGACATATTAGTCTATATCTTCTCAATTTTTACAATAACATAATCAGTTCTTTTAAATTTGTTACAATGGGATTCCACCAGTAGGGTTTCCGTCACATCTCTCTGTTAGTTGCCTATGTGACACAATGGGTCTCATATTTTAAAAAAAATATTAAATTAATTAAAATATTAAAAACCAACAAAAAATTTAAACTCTCTCTCTCTCTCCCCCCTTTTATCCCACAACCACTAGCGCCCCCCCCCACCCCCCCCCTTCTCT